ATTCCCGCTAACTTTTTTGTTTGTTTTAAAGACTGAAATAACCTCTGAGTCCTTTTTGGCGATCGTTTTTTTTTTTTTATTTTTATTTACCAAATTTTTATAGCGCCGTTTTCATGAGTACTCATGTTCAAAGGCGCTTTACATTAAGGATACAAATAGAATATACCCACACCCTACTACGGACCGTCACCAAAATGTAATCATAACTGGGTTATGCCTAACACTCCCTCTTATTTTCATTTATGTCAGTGCAGCCGTTTTTGATATATGTTGCACACAAAAATACCACACGAAAATACCAAAACGTTACGCACACACACACACACACAAACGTTAACACCCCAAATTACTACAAAGAAATGTCATTATTTTTAAGAAACTAGAAAATAAAATTGATATCCTTTGCAGTGGTAAAAATGAGTACACGTTAATCATGGGCGGAGATATGATATGTATTTTACAATACAAACTAAATCCGACAAACAGTATAAACCCCAATGGCAAATATCCCCACCACTGACGCAGGGCCATCGGAACCACACCGGCTGCGCAGGCTTTGGCCGGACGACTTTTTCCCAATTGCATTACTTTTAAAATAAATATACTCTGATACCTGAAGTTAGTATTAATGTTAGCATTAAATTGACTTTTTAATTTTGTATACCGTATTTGAACAAAAATCCACCATTTTTCATTCACCGTTTTTGTATTGCCCATGTACATTTCAACTCTTTTGACAATCCAACTTTAGTAATTAAGATTGATTTTAAAAATCTATAGAGATATACATATAAATAGTGGCCCAAGCCTATGTCATAATTACGACATAAATATGGTGAAATTACGACATAAATATGTCGAAATTACGACATACGTATGTCGTATTTACGACTTATGTCGATATTTCGACATACGTAAGTCGTAATTATGACTTATTATGTCGAAATTTTGACATATTATGTCGAAATTACGACATACGTAAGTCGTAATTACGACATATTATGTCGAAATTTCGACATAATAAGTCGTAATTACGACATAAAAATATATATTTCAGTGGCCCTAATAGGCTTTCGTACCATACAGATCAATAAACAATAATCCGGGACAAAATAAGAATCAAGAGTATTTGTAACGATTGAACATGTAGCATAAATGCATTCATATAGACACAACAATTTACTATTCTGACCAGACTGACCTCCATTACTGGAATTAGATCATAGAGGTCTGTGGCTTGATAAACCACGTAGTCTGGTTGTAAAAATGCTGAAATGAACTTTAGCGGGAAAAAAGTAAAGGAAAATTAATTTTTGGTTTTTCGGAATCGGCATACCCTATAGTTCCTCAGAAAAAAAATCCCCATGCCTAGGGCTTGGGCAATTTTTTTTTACAGCACTTTGAAATAAAAATAAAGTAAAGTTGGTGTGGGGTTCTACCCGGGGAACTATGGTAATATTTTATAGCAGTAGTGACTGAGAAAGTTTTCTCTATTGTTGAAAAAACAAAACCAAGCTTCGAGCTAGCATGACAACAAAAACTTAAAGTGCTTTAATGACACAAAGCTGGAAATAACAGAGATTATAAGTGTCATTCGAATAAATATTGACGTTATGACTCCAATGAGATCCAGCGAAACAAGCAAAATACCGTGCCCTTCATGGTGAAGTCTGTAAGCCTACTGATTAAAATGTAACTTAAATATTTTTTCTTGGTTGTGAGGTAAATAAACAGTACACTTGAAATTAAGTAACTCTAATTGTTTTGTTTGAAGCAACTGTACAGGAATTAGGATATAATTGCCATCTTAATTTTTTGTCACCAATCAATGAATAGCGTCCCTATTTTTGATATTCGAATGTTGTATGTAAATATACAGCATTTGATGGACGGACCTGTATGGGGGTGTAGGTGTACGTAAAAAAATTAGAAACTATTACTGGACTACATATCCCTCTGAACTACGTTTACGTTTTACCTTTGTTGTTTTACTTCCATCGTTTAGTTTTTCTAGGATAGGCGAACATCACTTGAGCATCTGTGAGTTATGATCCTGCAAACCACTGCTTGCCTGTGGTCTCAAATTGCAGGAAAACGGTGCGGTGATGTTGGTTCCCCTGCGATAGTCAGTTTTCTCATGCTTTTTTTTTTCCTTGGGTCGCTTGGTTAGACTTTAGGATTTAGTTTTTGGTTTGTTTTCTTTCGTGTAACTTAAGCGCATAGAGACCATGTAGTATGCGCTTTACAAGTCCCAAACCATTACGATTACCATCCTGCTTATGCGGACGTAATATGATTACCGATCTATTTCCCCCTTATTGTTCACCCGACCTATTCCCCGCCCCGCCTTATTATTGTTAGCTTAATTACTGTCACTGTAAAGGAATTCACCTAACCTTCCCATCTTGCTCGCTGTTTTTTGCTGTAAAGTGACTTGTGATTTTTTCAATGTAAAGTAGCTTTTACATATTTTTTACAGATTGTTTATGCTAGATAATTAAGCTGTGAAGTTAAGTTGAACATAAGGTACATGCTCGAATGTATAAACTTCCGTTACTTTATGTTTTTTAATGAATACATAGACATATTTAATAATTGTTTACTCTGAAAGAAAGTGTTGCAAATTTGTGTCGCATAGGCTCTGATTATCCACACCACGAAATACTAAAATTCGCCGGGAACTAAAATTTGTGTTACACCGCCCTAAAATGACACCCCTGTATCTATCTATATGAAGAAAATAATAAAAAGCCTAAACTTTGTTTCAGTTATTAACAGCAGACTTGCAGAACTTCTTGGGATCTATTAAGTTACTTTTCACTTTTATAAGCAATGTAAAATTTGTCTTTTGGTGGTCATAAATTTGGGTTTTTTCAGATTCAGAGAAACAAATGGAAGTACACTATGTGACGCTTAGTGGGCACCTGAGTGTGGCGCCCATCAGTGATTCCCCTGTAATTCGTCCCCCTTCCACTGCTAAGAATGGTTCCTCAACTACAGGTGTGAACAATAGGGATTGTAATAGGGAGGATAGCAGAGTACTGAACTGTGTTGTGTTCACAGGGTGTAGTTTTGAACAGCAACAGCTACAGGATTGGCTTCGATCTTGTGCAAGACAGGTACTGTCAAAAATATATCAAATACTTTTTTAAAAATATTTAATAACACAAGCAAAATGTAACATTCATATGTTCAACCATGGTGGAGTTATTATGGTGTTTCATGACAGGTTTTGAGTTCAACTCAGCCAGTATGTGCACTGGCAAAATCCTACATGACTTAAGGTCCATTTGGATTAAATACTGGGAGAAATACTCAGCCCTCAATGTTGATTCTTTCATAGCAAGATTCAGGTTTACATTATCCTGCTATACAGTAATAAAATATTTATTGAAACATTTTTAGCACACCCCTTATGAATAAAACTTTATTAATAGTGGCAGTTAAGATTCTTTATTACCATGTTGACCACACTTCTGAAAACAGCAAGTGGCCTAAAATTTGATTTTCAAAAATTCAAAGACTCCAAGTTCGTATTTTTCAAGTTCTGAAATTTGTTCTGATGTCAAAATATGCATATTAATGTTGTAATTCCATTTAATTTCCAGAAACCACAAAAGAAAACATTGAGGACAAGAACTAGTTTAACTAAACAAGAGCTAAAAAATATTCATGTAAGTACTGTATTTGAATGTCACTTTCTTTTCATTTTCCAAAATTCTTAATGCATTTGAATCAAGAACATTCCTTTTGGTATTTCATTTTATTTAGACTAAGCATCATTTGGACCCTTTACCTGAAGGTTGGTTCTATAATGGTTCTCAGTATGTTAGTATGGCTGGGGATAGAAATACAGCACATCCAGGTAAGTGTTGATGATATAATGATTTTTTAAATGTGTGTATATACCTGTAAACATTTTTGTCTATTTCGTGAATACTGTACTTTACATCATGGAGACATGACCTACATGTATATGCATACACACAGATCTAACCCACATGCACTCTCTCTCATACAACTGACTGAAATGTTCACACATAGTGGAGCTAAGGTAACACTTTTTTATACAACTGAATAAAGGAACTTTTGTTACAACATCATGTATGTATGTATAAGATACTGTATGCTTTATCTACTCCAGTCTACTGTATATACTAATATTATTTGTATATGCTAATTTTATAGATATGGAGAATTTTGTTGAAGAATATTTAATGGAATCTAACAAGATGATTGAAGCATACAACGACAAAATTGATCAAGAAGATTTTGAAGACCTGTTTCCTTAGAAGGTACTGGCTTTGTTAGAGAGAAGCTTTACATGGGTTAACGTGCCCCATACATGATGGGTGTCCTGCGTCCTTTTGCCTGAAAAATGCATATCCTGTGTCCCTTTGTCCAAAAAATGAGGATATGATGAGTTCCATTTGAATTTTGGTATTCAATAAATTGTTACAGTTGATGTTAAATGATAGTTTTTTGGTGCAGATGTACTTAAAGTTCGAACTTTACCTATGGTTGTGTTGGGATTCTTACTAAATATAAGGTATTTGTCTTTTCTAGGTTAGAATTTATATTGTGTGATGATTTTCCTTTTGTTTATTATTTTTTGTTTTAAATTATGTTTAATGAAATAGTTAGATTTAATTAAATATTTTTGTTTGCATAGTTTATTCTGTCCAATAACTTCACAGAAGTACTTTAAAAAAAACCTTAATCTCAATTCTACAAAAGAAGAACTAGCTTGAATACAATCCATTATTTAAACATACAATACAAAAAAATGCTTGAAAACCAGTTGTTTTGAATAAATATTCAACACAACCAGGAGCAAGTGACCAAATGCAAAAATGAAAAATTCTTCATGTACAAAATGTGTTTTTTTAAGATAAGAAGTTTTGTATCTTTGATTGGTTGCACAGTTGTGTTCTGTTTTCACTCCATTTACTATAGTGAATTGTAAATGCTTTGCTCAATTAAAATGCCTTGAAATGAACTTGTGAATGAATTTTGGTGTGTTATATATTCCTATAAATTGACTCTGTTTGAAAATGTTTATTTATGCAAATCTATTAATATTTCTTATATAATAAATTATCTAGAGAAGTTTTGTTATTTATCGGTTTGAGTCTACCACATACCATTCACTTAAATAATTACCATTACCGTAAAAGCTTTAAAATTTACTTTATCTGATTGACATTTAGTATACAGCATTGTGTGTTAAACCAAGGACTTTTAACTGTTACCAGGATAGGAAGCTGGCTGGTTTAAGCCATCTAACTTGAATTAGCCTTATGTGTGGTATTATTATGCTAATGAGGCAGATAAACACAATCTGCACATGCTCAAAAAACAAGACTTTCCTTAGCCTCACTGCGTATCGGCTAGGCGTACAGCGACTAGGCGTAGCTAATTTTATTTTTGTTTGTTACAAACCACTGACTTAGGTTGTTTGTCATCACTTCAAGCTGTCTACCCATTCGTGGCAAAGGCATATTAAAATAAAAAATATTGGCGTTTGTGAGCAATACATTTAATATTATATAGGTAAGTAATAAGTATATGAATAAAATTAAATGCACTAGTTAGTTGATAACTTTCTTCTGCATTATTAGATGTGATTAGACATGGCCTAGGCTAGCCTATGTGATGTTACTACATAACAAAATCACATAATTTAAAATCAAATTTTTAAACATAACTTGCCTTTTATCTTAACTAGCAGGTGATTTTATTGGTAGATTAGTTTGTTTTTAAGTGTGTAAGTATGATTGATTTGCATGCCAAGTGAAATTAGTACCCTTACTTGGCTTTGTTTTACCGTACCGTAGCTGTACACCTAGCCGATACGCAGGGTGGCTAAGGAAAGTTTTCTTTTTCTGGGCATGTGCAAATTCTGCTTATCTGGCTCATTAGCATAACAATACCACACATAAGGCTAATTCAAGTTAGACGGCTTAAACCAGCCAGATTCCTATCCTGGTAACAGTTAAAAGTTCTGGTTAAACGTTCTATGCTATGTTCAATGCTCAAACAATTTAATCTGGTTTCTGTTATTTATGGAAATGTCACAACAGTACATGGTTTACTTTAAAGAATACTTCCATGTATAGCAATGTGTTACACTTTTTGATATTTACTATAACAGTGTGTTACACTTTTTGACATTTATTATAACAGTGTGTTACACTAATTGACAGTTACTATATAGTATTGTTTTACACTTTTGAACATTTACTATATCAGTGGTGGATCCACGGGGTTCCCCTAGGCAGCAGTGAAAAAATCACTAACCAAAAAGATTTAAACTCCAAAGCTTCCAGTTGGCATAGTTCCTGGACCCCACAATAGGTTAAAAAAAAGAGCACACACCTTCCGCTCTTGACGATTGATTTCATCCCATTCTGGTAGTTATTTTGATTGCCACCCTGGCAAAAAATATTCTGAATACGCCACTGCATATTATCGTAATGTGCGTTAAATACATACATTTTACTCTATAATAATGGTAACAGTGTGTATTACATAGTCAGAGTCACATTCACTATAACAGTACATAATAGTAATTTTAAATATAGTACGGTTTAATATTTGTTGTTTTTGTTGCAAATGAAATTTAAATTTCAGGAAATGAAGTTGTGATTTTATTTTGTGATCTCGTAAAAAATGGTTTGATCCATTGCCAATATGATTGAAAATAAAATATCACAGAAAGATTAGTGATTTATTCTTGCATAATGTCTTTTTCTTTTCTTTTTTGTCTGGCACACACGTTACACAAATGATAATACCTATCAAAATTTAATATTACACAAAAGCCTAAACCTACAATTGAGTTTAGCAAATGGGACAAAAAAAAGCGCATGTAAAGGCATCTGCAAGCCAGTAAATAGTAAGTGGCAAATTCGTAGTCATTGGGGGATGTGTTATCAGAAATATAAATTAGCTAAACGCACTTCGAAAATGAACAATAGCACTGTAACTACTACTGAACAACAACAATAGTATAATAATAATAACAATAATAATAATAATAATAGCAATAATAATAACATAATGACCAATAATAATAATAGTTATAACATGATAATGAACATCATTAATAATAATAATAATAATATTTTTCAGGCTACAACATTTATCGACAATCACGAAATACTTTCTGTTCAATCAGCAAAATTTTTAGGAGTGCACTTACAATGGGCTCACGTGGAAAAATCACATAAGTTGAAAGTAAAATTTCCAAAAGCCTTGGCATCATTTCTAGACTCTCCTCATTTATTCCCTGTAATGTTCTTCGTATTCTCTACTGCTCTCTAATTTTTCCTTACTTGAACTACTGCAACATTTTTTGAGGCAATACTGTACATATCCATCTAACAAATCAACAAACTTAAAAAAGAAAGGCTATCAGGATCATATCTGGCTCTTCACCACGGTCTAATTCTTCCCACCTGTTTTCCAATCTAAATCTTCTGAAATTAATTCAGCAAGGTATATTTGTATACTCCGCCATGCATTCGATCCTCCCCAATCATTTAAGTAACATGTTTATGCCTAATTCTTCTTTTCACAATTATTATACACAATCTAGAACTGATATTCACAAACCATTTCCAACACAACGTTTTATATTGGAACAATTTACCAATCTCAATTACCAATGCTGTTTCTGTCGGAGCTTTTTCTAATAAGCTGAAAAAAAAACATAATCTCAAATTATTAAAGGGTGGGGGGGGGTGTGTGCGGGGATGAGATAAGTGGCCATATATTGCTTATTTAACATTTCCTGAGTTCGGGAAAAATTCAAAATGTTGATGTTGATAATTACAGAAACAAAACATGTATGATGAGACAGGAAAATCAGGTGAAAACGAGGCTGATCACTTTTTTCCAGTAGCCTGGTAACCAACTCACTAATATCAAAGATACTAGGATACAAGATAGAGTTCTCCACACAAAAAAAGTGTTCCACCGAAATGCATGGTGGGAATACGAAAAATGGGACGCCCCCTACAGCTGGATCTAAAAAGACTTGTGCCAAACTTTCGTTACCAACTCGTCGCGTATTTAATTATCAATTCTCAACAAAGATACTAGATATAAAAACAAACTGAAATAGACACCCAGACAGTGACATCGGTGAATACAACCTCCTTGGTGGCGGTAGAAATCGTTGCTATTATCCAAATAATACACAAAACAATTAAAGCATAATCATGAATCAGTAAAGAAGAAAAACAATACAGCGCAGAATCGCATGGCCGGACGCACTCTTATACCCATTTCACACTAGCAGAAAATATTACAACTTTTAACAACTATTAACAAGTTTGATATTCCGAGATTTTTGGGTCGTTTCACACATGCACTTTCAAACCATGAGAAATCTCTGGAAAACTCGGAAGAATATTATGACTAGGCATGGAGTAGCATAGTACTAGTAGGTCTAGGCTAGTTGTAGGTTGTCCGAATTACATATCAACTACTAAACTAGGCCTGGTACCGAATTAACAAGATTATAATTATTCCATGTTCCTTAGCCTTCGGAGAGTAAAACTCCTAGCTCGCTTGCTGTAGTCGAGCTGGCGAGAAAGATAGGGCCTAGGTTAGCTAGGCGCAGTCGGGCCGCCGGCCAGTAGCTCACCATTCAATGGTGACCATTGTTGTTAGAGGCAATCAGTGCGACAAGCATCATAATGATTCGCTGTCGGCGTATTTTACGAAGCCTCGTGATTGTTTCTACATCAGACATGTGAAATTTAGCGAGATTTCTTTTGATTTTAGGTCTAGGCCTATTAACAAATGGTAGTAATGTTAATACGTTTTCCATCGCTGCTGCCATTCGTTCGAACTAAAAAAAAAAAAAACACAGCCCGCAAAAAGGTCAAAATATGGACATGACGCATGCGCAACAACAACTCGGAAGATTTCGGGAAAAAAACAGGCCTCGCGATGGTCTGTTTTTGTTCCGAGATAACTCAGGGGTGTACTGACGGCCGCCGTCTGTTCGAGAGACCGATCAACGGTAACGACCCCTAACCCCGGCATCTGTGTATTTGCATATCCTGCCCTCAGGTGTGCAGAGGAGGGATCGCCGAGATCTTGGGGAATTGTCGTCACTCGTACACTGGACTTAATGCAAGACGCATCAACTAACATTATAGAATTGGTTTATGTGTCCGGGTCTACACAGGAGTACTACCGTACTACATATTGGAGTGCTGCTGTGACTGATTTATTATTGGAGTATTGTCGCCCTAGGAATACATCCCATTGGATAAAGGTAAGCACCACTCGGCGGTACCTTTAATCATCACAGCATATATAGGCGATAATTACTACATTGGCGCTGCGAGCAAAAGGCTCGTAGGCATTGCTTGTAATTATTAGTGCAAAAGTACTATAATAGTTTTTTGAGAGCTAGTAATAGGCATAAGTATTGTGTTTTCGCACGTACTTTGTATTGCGTTACTAGCGGCTCTGTTTTTGTTTGATTAGTTAGGTTTTTTTTCTGTGGGGAGAAGTGTTCGGGGCCGGCAATTAGATTGCGGAC